TTTTATTATTCTTCTTTATTGTAATTTAATAGTAAGTAATATATTTCATTAAAATATTGTTAATAAAAATATATGTAAATAAAATTTTACTTATAAAAAGTAAATGAGTTTTAAATTATTGTTTTTTTTTAAATATATAAAAATATATATAAAAGTTTCTATTATTAATATTAAAATTTATAACAACGTAAATATTTTTTCGCCTAATTAGTAGAATTTTATAAAATAAAATTTTTCTCATTTATCATTACAAAAATAAAATATGTATTTATATACATATCTTATCATTAGATAAAATTTACTGGAAAATTATCGTTTTGTAATAGAATTAGATTTTATATTATTTGATATGAATATAATGTGTATAAAATAAATATATGTTTAAAATTTTTATATTTTCAATATATACTACTTGAATATGTTACGAAAGTTTCGTTAGTTTCACTTTAATATATTTATTTATAAAAAGAAATTATTTATAAAAAAAATAAAATCAAATATCTCATTCTAATTTATAATGATTGATAATTTTTATTTGATAATAGATTAGATTAGAAAAAAAATGTGAATCGTGATAATTCATTTTTTATAACATATACATAACTAATTGCAATTGAATATGATTTCGATGGTCAATTATATATTATCAATAAATGATTTTATTGATAATATATAAATCTCGATAGTATATAAATATAATATATAAATTAAATAAATCTAGAAAAAATTGTTACTTAATCTATCTATTTCTCTATCGGTAAATTTTTAAAAATGATTATTGAATTTAAAGACAAACAATCTTAACTTAACTAGTAAGACAACTAATGTCAAGTGTAACAAGTGGATTTTCCAAGTAAAACAGGTAATGTTTTTATCTTCGTTTTATATTTAATTATTTAATATTATATTATTGAAAAATATTACATTATAATTATATGATCGAATAGTATGATCGGGCAAAAAAAAATTTTACATTCAAAAAAATAAATGAAAAAAAATTTTAATATTCTTCAAAACAAAAGCTTAAACAAAAAATTTTTATTTCCTTTTCACTTATCTTCATAACATTTCATCAATAATTGATTCAGACAAGCATTAACAAATTTTTAAATTTGATTTTTCTAAAAACAAAGTTTTAAATAAAAAATGTTATTCTTATTTTTTTATTTTATTTTAATATTCGATATATATTGATATATATCTAGCAGTTTTATTTATTATATAGTTTTTAAATAGTATTTCGTGAAATATTCTTGATAATTTTTAAATTAATTTTTAAATAAATTTTTAAATAATATTAATTATTTATTACAAAACTATCACTATCTTATTTAATTTAATTTTATTTTATGTTTTTCTTATATTGTAGAAATAATGGCAATAATTTATTCTTATTATTCGTTATTCTTGCATAACACTTGTGTCAATAAACTGAAGAAATAAGGGAAAAAATTGATTTCCATTCGTTGTCAATGATAATATAAACATTTAGATATCTTAAAAATTTTGTTTTTGGTATATTTAAATGATAAAAAAGATTAAGATATTGGAATTTATAAATTATTAGATACATATAAACTCGATTTTTTGTTGTATAATTTGTAAAAATTTATTAGATTTAGATTTTTATATACATAAAAACATATATATATATATATATATATATAAGCTTTTAAAAGGAGAAATCTCATAATTGCGAGATTTTTAATATCTTTTATATTTCAAATTATATAAGTTTCTCATACATTATATTTTTAAAATCTATTTGCTTTTAGATGTCGAAGATAATATTTTTGATCGCTTTCCTGGCACATGCCGTTGTAACCATCGCAACCGATAGTAAGCATCAAATAATATAAAACTGATAAAATTAATGATTTTTAATATGTTATCTTTATTAATAAACAATGTAATTAACATTGACAAACAATGTATTGTTAATTATTTCTATAATCTTAATTTTTCTTCTTTTATTTCTATAATCTTAATTTTTGTATTTTGATTGAATTAATATTATATTAATTGAAATAATTTTGTTATAAATTTTATATAATAATGTTTTTTCATTATCTAGCAAAAATCGTTTGCTATTATGGTAGCTGGGCTGCTTATCGCCCTGGACTTGGAAAGTTCGAACCTACCGATATAGATCCGACATTATGCACTCATATGATCTATACTTTTATTGGTATTGCTAATGATGGTAATATCAGAATATTAGATAGTTGGATGGATCTACCAAGTGGCAAGGATGGTTATGGAAAATTTACTAGACTTCGTCAATTGAGCCCTAATACTAAGGCATTAATAGCGATAGGTGGTTGGAACGAAGGATCCTATAAGTATTCTGAAGTTGTTGCTAATCCTGAAATTCGAATTCGATTCGTCAAAAACGTGGTTGCCTTTTTGAAAAAATATAATTTTGATGGTTTCGACGTAGATTGGGAATATCCGAATCAACGTGGTGGCAAAGAAGCTGACAAAAAAAACTTTATTGCCTTGTTAAAAGAATTAAGACAAGAATTCAATAAACATAATTACATCCTCAGTATAGCGGTTGCTGCTGCTAAATCTTCAGCTTTGAAATCATATCATATTTCTGAAGTATCGAACTATGTTCATTTTATTAATCTTATGACGTACGATTTAAATGGATCGTGGAACAATTTTGCAGCGATTAATGCTCCTCTATACGCTTCCTCTAGCGAATCTGGAGCTCAAGCTGAGCTTAACGTGGTATGTTTCCATTCTCAATTATATTAAAATACTAAAAAATAATATTAAAATATTAAAATTAATATTAAAAATATTATGTATTAATTCAATATTAATATGAAACATTTATATTTTAGAATTCGTCTGTTCAATATTGGCTTTCAGAAGGTGCACCAGCTAATAAGCTCATTGTTGGTATTCCAGCTTACGGTAGATCTTTCACTTTGGCAAATTCCATAAACAATAAACCAGGAGATAAAACTATAGGTGCTGGACAAGCTGGACCTTACACACGAGAAAATGGTATGCTTGGTTATAATGAAATTTGTGAATTCATTGATCAGGGTTGGACCGTGGTACGCGAACCTGAACAACGTGTACCTTATGCTTTTAAAAACAATCAATGGGTTGGATATGATGACGTCGTGTAAGTATTTAATAAATTAACATTATAATAAAATAGTAATAGATATTAAAAATGAAAAAAAAATAAAAATGCATAGGAAATAATGTTTTCAGATCTGTTGAAGAAAAGGTTAATTATGTTAAATATAATGGCCTCGGTGGTATAATGATGTGGAGCGTCGAAACTGATGATTTCCATGGTACGTGTGGTGAAAAGTATTCACTTTTGAATACAATAAATAGAGTGTTAAAGGGACATAATCCATCTACTGCAACTACGACTGCTGCATCCACAACTAGTGGTATATCGAATAGCACAACAACTATCGTATCTAGTACAACTATTTCTACGTCGACTAGTACAACAACTATTGCATCCACTAGTACATCAACTATACCATCGTCATCTGTACCATCGTCATCATCACCGAATTCTGTGTGCACACAGGAGGGCTACGTTCGAGATCCACAAGATTGTTCAATATTTTATTATTGTCGAAATGTAAACGGTAAATACATTATAAACAAATTCCATTGTCCTAAAAATCTTGTATTTGATACAAAGATCAATAATTGTAATTACAAACACAATGTTCCTGATTGTGCATAAAATCGATATAAATAAACTATATAAATACGTAAATTGTTATGAAATAATGTAATAGTACATATTTTCTTATAGTTTACTTATTTTATGAATATTGTAAAAAAATTTTTTTTCTTACTTATCATTATTGTATATTTAATTATGACAATAAATAAATATATTTGTAATACTAGTATATATTTTATATTTTTTGTGCAATTAGTTTATATTTATAGTTCGTATAATTTTCACATTTCTTTCATATTTAAATATTTATATAAATAATTAAATAATATGTAAAGAAATTATTAAGTTCATAAATAATTGTATTAGTTACATTTTATTAAAAAAATATGTATAAGTAAATGCTTTATCTATGGAATTTATTCTATATGAATCAATAAAATCACGTATAATACGAAAATGATAGAAAAATTATATGAATAATTTTTGCATTTTCATAATAAAAAAATCATTAAATAAAGTTCACTCTATCATGTTATAATATATTTTTATATAAAATTGTATTAAAATGTAAATTGAAAAACTTACTTAATCGATCTCTTTATATATATCACGCTGATAAGCGGAAGTTATTTAAAGTTTAAATTTGACTAATGTAGTTTGTATCCAAACGTACTGCTTTTGTCTACTTCCTTTTTACGACGTGCTTTCCAAAATGCAGAAGGTAGGTTTTTTAAATTATAAATTTTATAAATTTTTTTCTTTATAAAAAGTAAATTTATGTATTTATATTAAATTGTTTGATTTTTTTTTCAGAAACAAAAAGAACCGATTCAATCTGTGCAAGTCTTCGGACGCAAAGTAAGTATAAATTGCCAATAAATGAATGAGGTTATGTTTGCGTATATTCTTTCAAATATACATTTATATTTATAGAAAAGTGCTACTGCAGTTGCTTATTGCAAACGAGGCCGTGGAAATCTTCGAGTAAATGGGCGTCCATTGGAATTAGTTGAACCTCGTGTATTGCAATACAAATTACAAGAACCTATTTTGTTACTCGGCAAAGTAAGTATCAGAAAATATATTAATTTTATATATGTTATTTAATATGTGTTTTGTTATATTATTTTAAATGATGATGAAAAATATTAATTTTTTTTTAAATATATATATTCATATATATTCACTATCATTTTTTTTAATGTTGCTCTATGATGTTCTCTTATTCCGAACATGATTATTCATGATTATAAAAATAAAAGCACTGAGAAAATTTATATTTATGTATTTTTTATTAACAATTAATTTGATTTTATTTTATTAACAATTAATTTAATTTTAATAATATTTTACTTGTTATTTTTTATGTAGGAAAAATTTTCTGGAGTGGATATCAGAGTAAGAGTAAATGGTGGTGGTCATGTAGCACAAATTTATGCCATTCGACAAGCAATTTCTAAAGCTCTTGTAGCATATTATCAAAAGTGTAAATTATATTTTAAAAAATTTAACATTATACATATATATTTTAACTTTAAATATAAATTATTTTCATGAAATATTTTTTTTTAGATGTTGATGAAGCAAGTAAAAAAGAAGTAAAAGATATTCTTATTCAATATGATCGCACTCTTTTGGTTGCTGATCCAAGACGATGTGAACCAAAGAAATTTGGTGGTCCAGGTGCAAGAGCAAGATACCAGAAATCTTATCGTTAATATCTACAAATTTCACATTACATTTTATTTGTATTATTGAATAAAATATATAAAAAAAATTTGTGTTCTTTTATATATTTTCAAATTTTTGTATATTGGAATTTTTTTTAATTATATTTTTCAAATAATTGTAAATATGGACAAAAATTTTTAATTTTAAAAATTTTAGTTTTATATTAGAAAAATAACTTGAGAAAAAATAATTCACGAAATTTTTAAATTTTATTTTTAGAAATAAAAATTTTTTACGAAATAATGTATTTAACAATAAATAATGTTTATATAAATTATATAAATTATATAAAGAATATGAATTTTTAAATTTATAATACATATTATATGCTGTGCACATGTATATTTTTATTTGCAAACTTCTATCTTTAATGAATAGAATTTAATAGTGTATAAATATCACGATATACACATATATATTTTCGATATGTCATTTGCGATACATATGTGCGCAACGTGAAAGTAAGCGTAAACTCAAGATTATTAATTTTTAATTTTTCAATTCTTTAAATATTAAATAGTAAAGAATAATATATCTATAAAAATGAAAACGAGATTTAATTCATATGACATCGCTTGTACGATAAATGAGTTGCAAAAGTAAGTGAATTATTGCATAAAGGTTAGGATTGACATATTTTGTAAGGTTTTTTTTTTAAGATTAAATATTTTTATTGATAATTTTATTTTAATTTTAATATTTAGACTTATTGGTATGCGCGTAAATCAAGTCTATGATATTGACCATCGAACTTATCTTATACGTCTTCAACGAAGTGAAGAAAAATGTGTTCTTTTATTAGAATCTGGCAATAGAATTCATACAACAGTATTTGAATGGCCAAAAAATGTAGCACCTTCAGGATTTTCGATGAAGGTATATGATAGAATTTAAATGATTTATTTAAAAAGATAATATATCATATATTATTTTCGCAGATGCGAAAACATCTTAAAAATAAACGACTTGAGAGTCTTACTCAAATAGGTGTAGATCGAATGATTGATTTACAATTTGGAAGTGGTGAAGCAGCTTATCATATAATTTTAGAATTATATGATCGTGGAAATATTGTGTTAACAGATTATGAAATGACTATTTTAAATATTTTAAGACCTCACACAGAGGGAGATAAAATTAGGTAATAGAAATATAAAATAAATTTTAAATATTAAAATTATATTTCATATAAAATATAAAAAGATTAAAAAATATACATTTATTAGATTTGCAGTTAAAGAGAAATATCCTATGGATCGTGCTCATCAAAATATAATGCCACCTATAGAAAATATACAACAACATTTACAAAATGCCAAAATAGGAGAAAGTTTAAAAAAAATACTAAATCCACTTCTAGAATTTGGTTCTGCTGTGATTGATCATGTCTTATTAAAATATGGATTCACATTAGGTTGTAAAATTGGTAAAGATTTTAATATTGAAGAAGATATGTCAAAATTAATACTAGCATTAGAATATGCAAATGATATGATGAATTCTGCAAAACAAAATATTTCAAAAGGATATATAATTCAAAAAAAAGAAATAAAACCAACAACAGATGGCCAAAAAGATTTTATATATACTAATATTGAATTTCATCCATTTTTATTTGAACAATATAAAGATCATCCATATAAAGAATTTGCTTCTTTTGATGTTGCAGTAGATGAATATTTTTCTACAATGGAAGGTCAAAAGTTGGATTTGAAAGCTTTACAACAAGAACGTGAAGCTCTTAAAAAATTAGAAAATGTGAAGAAAGATCATGATCAGAGATTAATAACATTAGAAAAAACCCAAGAATTAGATAAACAGAAAGCAGAATTAATTTCCAGAAATCAAAGTTTAGTAGATAATGCCATATTAGCTATACAAAGTGCTCTTGCAAATCAAATGGCTTGGCCAGATATAAAGGTATTATTAAAAGAAGCAGAAAGTAAAGGTGATCCTGTTGCATCTGCAATTAAACAATTAAAATTAGAAACAAATCATATTTCCTTATTGTTACATGATCCTTATGAAGATAGTGATGAAGAATCTGAATTGAAACCTATGTTAATTGACATTGATTTAGCACATACAGCTTTTGGAAATGCTAGGAAATATTATAATCAAAAGAGATCAGCAGCTAAAAAGCAACAAAAAACAATTGAATCACAAGATAAGGCTTTAAAATCAGCAGAAAAAAAGACAAAACAAACGCTAAAAGAAGTACAAACTATTCATAGTATTAATAAATTAAGGAAAATATATTGGTTTGAAAAATTTTATTGGTTTATTAGTTCTGAAAATTATCTTGGTAAATTGTTAAAGAATATATAATATCTATAATAAAAGTAATTTCTTTTTAATAATATAATATAATTTTATAGTAATTGGTGGAAGAGATCAACAACAAAATGAATTGATAGTAAAAAGATATCTAAAAACTGGAGATATATATGTTCATGCAGATTTAACTGGTGCAAGTTCTGTTATTATCAAAAATCCTGGTGGAGGTATTGTGCCTCCAAAAACTTTAGCTGAAGCAGGTACAATGGCTGTTGCCTACAGGTATATAATTAATATTTTAATTATATATATATATTTTTTATTATAAAAACATTATAATTATGATATTAGTATTGCATGGGATGCTAAAGTAGTAGCAGGAGCATGGTGGGTAAATAATGATCAAGTTTCTAAAACGGCTCCAACTGGTGAATATCTTACTACTGGATCTTTTATGATTCGTGGAAAGAAGAATTATCTGCCACCATGTCAATTAGTTATGGGATTAGGATTTTTGTTTCGTTTAGAAGAAAGTTCAATTGAAAGGCATAAAGATGAAAGAAAGGTCAGAATTATTGATGATGAAAATGAGCATATAGAATCTTTTATTGAAGAAGATAAAGAAATTGAATTAATAGAAGATTCTGAAGAAGGTGAAATATTATTTTATATAAATAAATATATATTTTATGTATAATAAATTATTTTAATATTATTAATTCATTATTTTATAATTTTAAATTAAATAGATGAACAATCTGAAAATAAGAATAATTTAAATCCTATTCAGGAAGAATCTAAAAAAGATTTATTTATGGAAGAAAAAAATATTAATCAAGATAGCAATGAAGAAGACAATCCATTTCAATTTCCTGATACACAAATTAAAATTGATATTTCTAGTTCAAAGTAAATTATATAATTTATACATATATATACATATACTTTTTATTTTTTAAAATTATATTATATTACATATTTTATTTTTATAGAGTAAAGTTACATGTTGATAATAATCAGCCAACTGCAATGTCACAGGAAGTTGTAGAAAATATTATTTATTTAGGTGATGATAAACCTGTATTAATAAATACTACATGTAAGAATAAAGATTTAGAAGTTAAACAAAAGTCATTTAAAAAAGAAAATAAAGAAAAAATTGAAATAGATAGTAAAAAAAATGATCAAGTGATTTTAAAAAGAGGACAAAAAGGAAGATTGAAAAAAATGAAAGAAAAATATAAAGATCAAGATGAAGAGGATAGAAGATTATCTATGCAAGTTCTTCAAGTAAATATCTTTTGTATTCATAATATTTATATTTACTACTAAAAAAAGTTTATTATAATAATGTGATAATATTTAGTCAGCAGGTAATGCAAAAGAAGATAAAAAAAAAAATAGAAATAAAGATCCATCTGGACCAAAACAACAAACGAAAAAAAAAAGTATAATGAAACCAGTTCCACCACAAAATTCTCAAATTGTAGAAAATATTGAAGAAGAAGACACAGGTCCAGGACCTGAAATAGATATGTTAGATCAATTAACAGGAAAACCTGTTACAGAAGATGAATTATTATTTGCTATACCAGTAGTAGCGCCTTATAACACT